GTGGACAGTACACTTTACAAGCAAATTGTTGGTAGTTTAATGTATTTAACTGCAACAAGACCAGACATAATGTATTGTGAGTTTAATAAGTAGATATATGGAGAATCCAACAAAAATGCATTTGTTAGCTGCCAACAGAATCATTCGTTACTTGCAAGGAACTAGAGATTTTGGGATGTTCTATAAGGAGGGTGAAAAGTTAGAGTTGTTCAGATTTACAGACAGTGATGATGCAGGAGATCAAGATGATAGAAGGAGCACTTTGGGCTATGTTTTTATGTTGGGCACATGGGCCGTTTCTTGGTCTTCTAAGAGGTAACCAATTGTCACCTTGTCAACTACAGAAGCTGGATTTATTGCTGCAAAAACTTTTGCTTGTCAAGCTATCTGGTTGAGAAGAATTTTTGAAGAGCTACAGTTCAAGCAAGTTGAAGCTACTACAGTTTTTTGTGACAACAACTAAGCAATCAAACTCTCCAAGAATCCTGTGCTACAAAGAAGAAGCAAACATATCGATGCGAAGTATTATTTTTTAAGAGATCTCAGCAATGATGGAACAATCAAACTGGTTTATTGTTGAAGTGAAGATCAAGTTGTAGATATACAGACCAATCCTCTCTAGTTGGCTACATTTGTGAAGTTGCGTGGTCTACTTGGAGTTTGTTCACATACTGCTGTAAAGGAGGACTTTGCAGAGGGTTGATTTGCTTTTAAATTGATTTATGCAGATTTCAGTTTAAAGGAGGATGTTAAGATTTAAATGTTTTATTTCATATTTATTAATATTTATTGGAAGCTCTAGTCATTGGTAGGTTTGTTTGAGTTTTTAGGTATTTGGTCATTTGATTTCTGGCCTAGAAAGTGTCTTATGTGTTATTTTATTTTATAGGAGTTGTGTTTAGTGCTAGGATGAAGTGTTATGATGTAAAGCCAATAATGGGCCCTTTTCTTTATCAATAATATTGACAGAGCTTTTCCATTTCAACAGTCTCTTTTGTTTTTTGTTTCTTAACTTTGTATCAATGTGCTGAGATAAGATTGGGAAAGGTAGCTTCTGCGAAGCACAAAAACACCAAATTCTTGTTTCGTCTTCTCCGTAGATATGCTTATTTCTCATTGTAAATCTTCTCTAGGCTTCCTCTTCTTCGTCTTCACAAGTTTATTGATCGATCACATCCAATTGGCCTTGGAAAGACTCCAGAACTTTCATCACACGCGCACAGCTCGCTCACCACCTGTGTAAGATAA